TATGAAATAGATTTAAAGTGGCTTATGAATCTGGTCTGCTTAAACTAGTCAAGCTTAAACAAATGTGAAGGTAGCACCACTTGTTCAAAAGAAAGAATAATGAATGTGTCTTTAGTCTGAATCATGAGTTAGCATGAAGCTCATTTTCAATTATATCCTCTTACTGTTTCTAGTTTGGAAATATATAGGCAGCTTCCACCATACAACCATTTAAAAAAATAGTGCAGCCTACTATGTGTTTGATTCAGCATCCTGGCAGAACATTCAGAGGTCACTTTCATCTTTGAACTTCAAAATTCCACCATCAGTCACAGTAGAAAAACAGAATAGAAATAATAAGAACAAATGATGTATTGATTTCATTAACAATTTCAGCTGAGCACTTGCCGAGATCAAGAAATAGGACATAATCTGTTACAGAAGATCTCTTAGGTGGTTGCCCACCGGGCTTTTAAAATATAACCTAGCTACTTCTCTCTTGCCAGCTGAAGAACTAAAAGTATTAAATGTGACAGAATATTTTCAGATACACAAGACTAGGCACCAGGAACTATCAAACTGTTGGCTAAGCAAACATCTCAACTTTCACCAGGATTTTCAGAGATGAACAATCTCAACAATAAAATTGCAAAATTAACACAATTTCCAGACAGCATTACTGTGGCTCTCAAAATGAGGAGAAATTCCCAGTCTTTTCACAAATGTCTGAGCAAACATTTGACTGGGTCTTCTTTAAGAGTTATAGGATGGTGGGTTTTGCTAGGACTGGTGGTGGGAAGGTGAGAAAAACATGTCAAGTGCAGTAACATTCTCAGAGAAGAAATGAAAACTGTAATGTGTTTTAGAAAGACCCCAATTCTTACGAGGCAGCTGAACCAGGTTCTCCTTTTCCTTGCAGAACGACTCCTAGACATTGTCCTTTTCAAGGGACAATAGCCACCAAACTCCTTCCCACCCCTAGGAATGTCAGGCTGAGCTTGGATTTTCCCCTTTCTCCTTTGGGGCTACGGTGCCCGCCCCAACCCAGCCAACTGGCTCTTTGTTAACAAGCGCGTCCAGCCGAGAAAGTGATTGATCATCAGGGAGAAAGGCCAATGCTTTGACGGGTCGTTTAACAATTTCAATTAAACCGCTCAGCATTCAAACGCAAAAAAAGAGAAGAAATGTTTGAAGAAAAAAAAAAAGGAGACTTTTCCAGAGCTATTGTGGGCAAAGCTCCTATGGCAACTTAGCAGGGTCAGAAAGGCCTTCCTTAGAAGGTTTGCAAAATGTATTATTTATTTGTTTGTTTGTTTATTTATTTAATTTATGTGATGCCCATCTTGTCCAGAGATGACTGTTTTCCCTTTCAAGAGCTGGGGGTAGCACATTGCTCTTCTACTCCATTTTGCCCCCCCCTTCAATAAAATGTTGCCTACAAGCCCCATAATCAGTAATAGGCATTGTGACCCATTTGTAGACCTATATCTTTCAAGCCATGCACTGCTTAAGAATATGCCCGCTGAATATTAAACTACATGTTCTCAAATTCCTGTCGCTGGGATTGGCACTTGATTCTTGATTATGTGCAGTGACTTTTTTTAGATACATGAGATCCCTGAGGGCTGATCAGAAAGAAAGACACAATTCTGAATCCATTGAGACAGGGGAAGGGTTCTGGAAAGGATTTTTTTCTTCTTCTAAAGGTTAGCATCTCATCCTGTCTTATAGAAAGAGGCTGCTGCTGGCTGCCACCATGGCCAACTACATTCACAAGGCACACAGCTCATTGGAGGTGCCTAAACTGGATATATTGATGTGAGGCCTTATGCAGCAATCGCTCAACCAGGTCATCAATGATTGGGAGCCTGAGAAGATGATGCTCAAAGTAAAAGCAAAGAGAGTGGCAGACCCCCGTCAACCAGAAAGGAGATGCAAAAACTCCCCTTAGAATTGAGATGACATGGGGAGCCTTATTCGGGCCAGGGAGGAGTTGGTCCTAAGGAGGGTAGAGAAAGATGGGAAGGGAGTGGGGGAAATCTTTTCTTCCTGCCTTTCTTTTCCCCCTCTTCTTTCCAAAGCCAAAGGGCTGGGCTGCCAACCAAGTAGGCTTACCAAGGAATGCCTATCCTTCCACAGGGCACTTTTCTAAGATGCTCAGGTGGCCATTACAATCCTCCCACCTCCAAAACCTTGCTGTAAATTTGTTAAATCTGCACTCATGGCATCAACTGAGAATAATCAACCTCCCTAATATAAACTAGTTCTTTAAAAATGAGATCTCGTTGAATATATCAGGGTCCAGTCATTTGCAATTCAAAAGGCCCTTGGCCTAGTTTCCTATATCCTCAGCATAATCTGACGAGCCCTTTGCAAACAAACAATTTAGCTCTCAAAATAGGTTTGCTCTTTCTCAATACCCAAAGAGTAAAAAAAGATGTCTCAGAGAAAGAAAATGCAGGCCACGTTCAAGTGTGATTGTGATCCTTCTCAATCACAAGTTTGATTGTGATCCGTATGAATCTTACAGGAATGCAGACCTTAGCAGAAAAAAAGACTGCCTAACCTAGCTACCAGCAATTAGATATGGGGGGAATGAAGGTTTAATCCAAATATATTTGTGTCTATCCCAGGAGAGATGAAGTGTCCCAATATATAGGACGTGCGTCAGCAAGCTTTTCCTTTGAAGGCACTGGTTTTTCGGCTTTAATTCTTTCTATGTAGAACTAGTATTTTCCCCTATTCACATCATTCTTTTTCTCCAGAAGGACTGACATAGCTCCCAGGATCCATTTTCTTCTAGCAAGTCGTTAAATGGTTGGTATCCACACAGTAAACACTAACAACTTGGCTGGTTGGGAATCTTAGGAGTTGTAATTCCCATACTAGGTAAGGATGGCATTTGTGATGCTGCAAGTTCTCAATTTAGGATTGTTCATTTAGTGAATATTCAAAATTATGACAGCACTGAACAAACGGACTTGCAGTCCCTACCCGAAATTCCATCCACTGTGGCACCCCCAGAGTCAGGTGAACAAAATTTGAGTGCTGGGCAATCCGATCGCCATTACAACCAACTACACAGGAACTGAAGCAACCACTGCCTATCTTCTGCCTCATGGCCCACTGAATCCTAACAGGCCTCAGGCCTGCTTCTCATCCTGCTGGGTTCCAAAACCCTCCTCCCTACCCTGTCACGGTTCAGTCACTTACCTTTTCTGTATGTCTTCTTCTGGAAGCAGTTGATGCAGCCCTTGGACTCCCTGTATGGTACACAGATCACATGTTGCCATCCTGGAAGCAGGGCCCATTTGGGTGTGTGTATGAGACCCCACTGAATTGTGACCCAAAATGGGGCCTGCTTCCGGGATGGCACCATGCAGCCTCCATATTATACAGAGAGGCTGAGGGGCAGAATGGAAACCATGATCAGTATGGAGATCCAGCCATTCTTCCCCTTGGCCTGCATACAGAGTACAGAGGCTACGTACCACCATCCTGGAAGCGGGTGCCAATTCAGAGTGACCACAATTTATTGTGGCCGCTCTCAAAATGGCATTCAATTCCAAGATGGCCTCTGTGTAGGAAGGCCGTGTGGCAATGTAGTTGCTTCCCAAAGAAGACCTAAGGAAAAAGTTGGTGGACTGAGCTATGATGGTGGTGGGACCCAGTGGGTTAGAAAACAAGCTTAATATCTATGGGGATCCAGCAGGGCAGAAGATGGAGCACAGGATGGCTCAGGAGGTGGGAGAGGCCCAAGTCAAGCCATGTGTAAATTGGGACAGGACCTGCCTCATGCCTGAGGCATCCCATGCTCTGCTTAATTATCATAATAGGGGGAGATGGGGAGAGATTGTTAAGCAGGGTGAACATATAAATGCCTTGCTTAATGGCCATCATGACTTGCAACCTGGGCAGCTTAAGAGTTCTCTACCTGCAACTTGTAATGAGCAGGTTCGGTTATATGCCAAGAACTACCTGTACTGGGATAAATCCATCAATCACCCTTTTTTTGCTTCCATCCTCAGCCAAGCAGGCATCAAGAGATATTTCCTGAAATTCGCCTTTCTGGGCAGATCATTTTAAAATCGTATGCAAATTCCTTAAATCTGAGGCAGAAAGCCATCTATTTGTAAAGCCTGGAGCTTGGGCTCCTGCTGATATCCTTTCCCCAATATTTTAAGTATGTTTTAACACAAAAGCTTTATTTCTTCTTAATCTTCTTTCCATCTGAAGTTTCCCAATATCGAACAGATGGCCAAAACATACACTACCAAGTAATTTATTCTGATTAAAAGCAAAAGTTAAAATTAGTTTTCTTTTTGCATATTTGCATGTTTCATATATGCCCCCCGAATAAAATGATGCAGTTATTATTCAAAATGAAACCCCAAATCCCAGCACCCACACCTTCCCTGTCTATCAAATCCATATTGGGAAGATAGTTAACAATAACAGCATGAGTTCTTTGCTACTATTCATGAAAGACAAACTGGAAGTTTCTAATAAAGGTAAAGGTAAATGCATAGGCACCAATTCAAGAGAAAGAAAGAAAAAACATGTTGCATATGTAAGAGCATAGTTCAAATACAAACACAATATACTTTATAACAGTGAGGAAGAATGTGGTCACCTCAGTGCCTACTATCTCTTCTATTCCGTTACTATGTGATGATGGGCAGCTTAAGAGCCTTTCTATTGGTTCTCTACTTTTCAATCAGACATAGACTGCACAATCTTTCCAATAGAGGAAGATTCCAAAGAAGATAATCCTCAATGACAAGATTGCCTTCTTAGGGAGAACTTATATCTTGCTGCTATTTCCAACATTGTTAACAATTCTGGATTGCTAAGAAGAAATATTTTATAAATTAAGATTCACCAGAGGGTCATATCTTACTATTGGTCTCTATGCGCTCTATAACCATAGCTAGTTTGCCAAAAGTCACAGAACTGTAACTAATTTACTACTGAGCCAAGTGAAAGCAAAGTATCATGTTAGGGTATAAGGAGATACTCACTACTTTTGGACACCTTGATCTTTGCTACCAATTTCTGCACACCAGGTACGTCCTCATTTTTCACAGCCTGGATCAATTCCTGTTCTCTCCCCATGATGAACAAGGGTGCTCCCAATTTATGAAGCCATCCAGATGCACCGCGAGCGAGATAACTACTCAAGAGAAAGTCCCAAAAAATGGTGGGAGAAAAAAGCCCAAGAAACAAAAATATTTTCAGAAATCTCACAGCACATTAAAAAAAAAGTCTAGTAATGATGATAAATACTACCGGGCATTAAATAATTGGTGCTCAATGACTGGATCCCAGTAGTGGGAAGAAATTGGGAAGGAAAAATGAGTAGATTGAAGCAACAGAAACAGTGTTATATTTGGCTGTTCTTGCTAAATAAAAGCATTCTCTCCAAATATCCAGTTCTTCCTAGGCAGGTAGAGTTTCATCTCGAATGGTAGGAACCCTCTGTTTCCCCAAATCAGTAGACGTAGAGCTTCTGCAGCCAATGTCTGAGTTGTTTCTCAAGTTCCTATGAAAATAAAAGGCAGAATGAGTTTTTTCAAAGACTTCCGGACTTATAATCACAATTAGGACCAAAACTTCCATTGCTAAGTAAAGTGGTTAAGTGAGTTGCACCCAATTTTATGATCTTTTTGCTATGGTTGTTAAGAGAATGATTGCTGTTAAGTGAATCATGAAGTCATTAACAGAATCCAACTTCCTCATTGATTTTGCTTATCAGAAGTTGGTGAGGAAGATTGCAATAGTGGTCACATGACCCTAGAAAAACACAACTGTCCTAAATACATGCCAAGCACCTGAATTTTAATCATGTGACCTTGGGGATGCTGTGACTATCATATGTGTGAAGACTGGATCATATGTCACCTTTTTTCAGTGCGGTTGTAACTTTGAACAGTCGCTAAAGAAATGAGTGCAGGTCAAGGACTACCTATATTGTGCTAATATAAATCCTGAATTACAGGCAATTTGCTTTTTTCAGTTCAAGTACAATTCAATACTTAAATAGACTATATGCTCCATGAAATGAATGTTTCACTAGGTACATAACAGATGAAGGGGAGGGCATGCAAGAAAGAAGTAGCAGCTGGGCTGAGAAATCTGATTTCCCTACTATAACCCTCCCTTAATCTTTATGTGCTTTTCAAAATGTTTACCAGAACTAGTTCATGGGTATTTCCTCTTAAAGATTTGAGATATAAAAAGTTTTCTCTGTTAACATAAGCCAAAATCAAGGGTCCCCAAATTCTGCAGAAATTATCTGTAACATTATTAAATATGTCATTAATGATATAATTGCAACCATATGCATTGTTGAATCATAGATAGACAGATTTCATGGCCTACAGGACCTTTTAAAACAAAACAAAACAAATATCAATCAATTGGACTCAAGCATTTGTACAAATGGTTCAGTAGTGAGAGATCTGCTCAGAAATTAAAGAGGAGTTAAGTTCTATCTTTGAATATACACTCAGTTGGCAGAATTTGTTCTGTTTCAGTTTTTTTTTTACACAAAAATCCAATCCTGATGTTTTTTTCCTTTCCAAATTTAAAGCATAGAGACAAATTAAGTTGTCCATGTTGTTAAGATGAGAGAAATGGGAGAAATCAGAAAGCCAAAAAATCAGAATCATCGCATTTGTACTTATTTGCAAACGGAAGACAAAATGTTGCTCCTATTACAGCACCAGTAACTGGATACAGTATTGAACAATACATTGTATCAGCCTCTCACAATTTATTTGGGTCTGTGCACCTTTTAATTAAAAAAAACCAAGTATAATATTCTGAGTTGGGCTTAAATTTGCTTCTGAACAAAGCCAGGCTTTACTAAATGATGCTGTAAAGAAATTGTGAGCAACATCTGTAATATGCGAACAAGAGAATTGAAATGGCCTTAGCATGTTGTTATCATGCCTGTTTATTGAATATTCAGTGCTATTACTCACTCATGCCCAATGTCTTACTATAATGACAAATTTTGAGATACAAGAAATCTGGGAAAAAAGAAGGTCCCATTGGGTCTGACATTAAAAGCTGTGAATTAAACCTTAAAGACCAAATGAGAAATACCAAAGGCCTTTCTCAAGATGAATCTTATCAGTTTAAATGAGCAATTCTATACAGTATGACCCTGCCCCATATAGTCAATAGTAAGTGATGAATTGTTGTTTAAAACAGTTTCCCAATCCTTCTGCCTTTGTGCACAGTGAAGGATACCCAATTTAAACATCAGAAAAATCCTAACTTTGAGAAAGCTACTCTAGAAAATGTGAAACTTAAGACACTGCAAATAATATTTAGCCAATAGCTATAGCAACAACAATAAAGGGGGTGCCAGTTAAGTTTCAGGTATATTTTTAAGGGCTGAAATTTTGAAAAAGTACCTTTGAGACATCATAAACAACCAGCTACTTTTTTTTACCATCTTCTCTTGTGTTTAGGGTGGGCTAGATTCCCATTCCATTATTAATACAGTGGAGCCTCGGGTCGTGACCGTAATCCGTTCCCAGACTGCGGTCGCGACCCGATTTGGTCATGTCTGGAAGCACAACTGACTGCGCATGCGCACAGTCAAAAGAAATGGCGCCAAAGGGGAAATCAGCGTGGAAAGAGAATCTTTCCCCGCTGATTTTGTTTGCCACCCAATTTTTGAATTGTGACCTTATTCAAAATCGGGTAGATTTTTTGTTTGCCATCCGATTTGGTCACAAATATAAGTGTTCCACTGTATTTGTATATTGATCAAATGATCTAATTTGTCTAAACCATAATCCAGAAGGATTGTGTAACTGTGCAGGAAAAAGAGGCACATAAGTTATTGAAACAAAAATCAAAACCCAGATATGTACATTTGCCAATCTTGCATTTCTCTGGTGTTGTCTGAAGTTTTGAACTATAACTCCCACTGTTATACCCACAAAGGCAATTGCTGTGTTGGCTGTGGATGACGAGACTGGTTGACCATTGATGGAGGATCCTAACTTGGGAAAGGCTGTCATTGTTTATAACAATGGTTCTTTTCAAACAAAAAGATTTAGGAAGGACAACCAGCAACCGTTTCTCATTTCTTGACCTCATGTTATATTCTCTAAGCTTACTCAAAAGCCTATTCTATACGGCATAAATAAAAAAAGTATTTTAGCTCAGCTTGACCCATTCAGATAGGAGCAAGGAGAGGAAGTATTTCAGGACCAAATGTGTGTTTACGTTGGAAAAAAAGTCTGCCAGCACATTAAAAAAAAAAAAAGCTGCAGCACTGGTTTTGTTACTCCTTCCACTCTTAATAGACACTTGGTCATAGTAAGTAGGAGTGTTGGGCATGAGCTGAAGTATAAGTGAGGATAAGGTATGGGCTCTCTTACTCAGACAGAACTACCACAACAGCATTTTTGTTGTCTCTATATATTGTGCATATATAGCTTATACTTTCAAATAAGGTATTCAGACACAGAGTTAATATTCGGTTTATAAATTTATAAAATGCAGGATTGCTTGTTGCGTTACACCAAATACATATAGCTGTGGGGAATTACCTAACAGATTGACAATCCGGTCTGTCCTTTCAGTATCCCAACTAGGCAGAAGAAAACAGAAGCTCTCTTAATCCACAGAAAAGGTCTCACAAATACTCCACTCAAAGCATTCCCAATGGCTGTGGTTTCTTCAGATCGTGTAAGATGACTATGAAAATATGTTTACTGCTTGGCACCGTTGTCACCAATAATGGACCTCCTTCTTTTTCTGTCTCAAAGGGAGCTGAGTGTTAAGGGCTTGTGGCACATAAAGCGACAAATAATAATAGGAATAATTAGGAAAGCTCTGAAGCTAACAGTTTTTAATTCAGAGGAGTTGAACATTCAATATACCAGCCATTGAATATTCCAAAATCAAGCAATGGTCTGGACTAAATATAGGATGTGGAAAAAAAACAACTCCCTTTTTGAACAGACTGCTGGACTTGGGCCAGGGGGTTGCTCTGCTTATGTCCTTATGTTCAAAATGGATAACATAAAGGAGAGATATAAAGTCTGCTCATGCTTTTCACTACCCTCCTCCACCCGCCTCTTTACAAAGGAAAGTAACCCCCCTAAGTAAAGGAGGCTACAACTGGAGTGAAGAACCTTTGAGAGAGAAACTATTATATAGCTTACAGGAAGTATTAAGTCATCAAATAATAAGATACAATAAATAAAAACCAACTTATAAACAAATGCCTGGAACCCAAATGGAATCTCTGTGTTCAGAGAAATCTCTCTCTAAATAACAGACACCAAAAGCAAATTATGCAGGGTGGGGGAAGAGATGCTGAATCCCTAGAAGCATCTGACTAGCTCTTGTTAGAAACAGTAAAGGTATAGATTTCTTTGGAATCAACTAAATTCCTGGTGAACACATGTGGTTTTCATGGCAACAGTATGTAAATGTTTGCCATTGCCTTCTTCCTCAGTTTTTTTCTACTTCTCAGCTTTGTTGAGAATCTTGGGTCTCCCACCCAGAAACTAACTAGGTTCCCAACCCCCAACACACACACACACAGAGAGAGAGAGAGAGAGAGAATTGGCCAAGTGCTGTCCTTTGCTATGTCCGAATGTTGCACTAAGTGGAGGTTGTATTTGGTCCTGGGGTACTTCTTAACTGATGCTCAGTTAACTTATAATTAGGATCTAGACAATGCAGATGTTAGGCAGGAACAGATGTTTGTGTATGAAACATTTTAACACACTTGCTATTAATGGCAAATCGTGTAGGGCCGCAGTTCGAACACTTTGCAACTCTAGCTTCTTTCCATCATCTAATAAATTTGACAGAAATAGATAGGACTCAAGAGCTCATTCCTACAGCAGAAATCTCAATGTAATAGATCTATCTTATTAATTCTGAAAGGAAGTGTCTATATTTATTAAACTGGGATTTCAAATATATGTACGTGCATATGTATACTGTCCCTGGGTTAAGAACGTCTGACTTAAGGACAATCCCTAGATACGGATGGGGTGCCTATTACTAAAAATGGCAGACAGCATTCTCTTTCAAAGCGCTGAAACCATGCAATGCTTTCACAAACTGCTGAAGCCGCATAATTTTTAATACACAGCCTGTTTTCAGTGATTTCTCGGAAGCAATGCATGCAGAATGCTGTCTGCCATTTTTAATAATAGGCACTCCATTGGTAAGTACAAGTTCCAACACAAATATAAATTTGGGTTAGAGAGAGAGCTAGGAATGGAACTCATCCTTAACCTGGGGACTGTATGTATATATATATATATATATGCAGTATGTATACACAGAGCTGGTGTGATGTAGTGCTTGGTTAAGGTGCTAGATTAGGAAGGGGCAGCCTAAAGCTTCTGGGTGACCTTGAGCCAGTTATTCCCTCTCAGTCCTAATCAGTGTCAGGCTCTGCTGGCTGATAAACAAAACCTCTTGTCACTTCATGCATTGTAGCTTTTCTGTAAGAAACTAAGCAAGCACACTGCAAAATCAAGCAGACCGTGCAAG